TTTCACAGAACTGTGAGATTGTGAAACGTCTGTACAATTGTTAAATTTGTATACATCTTTGTAAAAGCAGTCATGCAGATATTTGCTTAGACTATCCATGCCCGCAATATTCTGTATTCATGTAGCAAAAATATCTGAAGTTGAAATAAACATATAATAATATATGGGTTAAATATAACTATGGGTTAATTTAAAGAGGTTTGTAGAATAGGAAACTACAAGTAGATCTTCAAGTCAAAACAGTCTCGGTTACTAAACCAAACATGCTAGACTTGCAGAATCATGTACAACATATCATCAGAATCATATAAACAAATCATTCCTAAGATTCTGTCGTATAACAAAATAAAACCTCTTTTTTGCTCTTAATTTAAATTCTTTTTTATTCGATTTCAAATGGTTTCCCCCGATAATTCTGGCCAGCAGAATCGAAGCTTTTTTTAAAGTTTTAAAGGTTCAAGCAATACATGTATTCAAAATCCAATCGTGTTTATATTAGAATATTGAGCTAAATCTCGTTTTAAGGAACAGGTTTTTCCGGTTTTGCAAAGGTTATGAACTCAAACTCTTACGAATTATATACTTTATATAACTCGTATATCTTATATACTTTTCAAAAGCAATCGCAATTCCTTTACTTGCAAAAAACTTTCAGTGCAAAAAGTGGAAAATTATTCAATATAAAAACAAGGCTCTCTCTTTCAGGAAAACTTACTTATACTTCATTTACGAAAAACATAAAAGATAACAGGAAAAGTCTTTATGATAAGCTTACGATAAATTTTCACCATTTGCTACAAAGCTTTAATCTCGAAATATTTCCAAAGGAAACTTTGAAATTTCGCGGAGATTGTTTCTGGAAATCTTTAAGATCGAGTTTCCAGGAAGCATTCAAGAAATGCATTTTAGCTCATATTCTATCTGAGAAAAGGTGTTATTGATAAAGGAACTATAAAAATCTTGGAGGTTGTTCCTGGAAATGTTAAACGGATTGGATTTCAGGACGTTTTATGACCCTAGAAAGAATGAAATACCGTATTAGGTATTAATCCAAGCACATAAAGTCAACCAGGAAAAAATATGAATTCGTCATAGCTATTAAATGGTGTTTGTTATGTCATCCGCAGAATAAACAGCTCAAAACAAAATGCTTTAAATCTGAGAAGAATTTAGTTAGTGTTGTTAAAAAAACACATTTACAAATTATTGGAATATTTCGTAAATTGGGGATAAGTCGGTAATTTCGTTAGTATAAAAGAATTTAGTTTGTATTAAAAAAAAAAAACAAGCGAAGTTTACGTACCAATCTTTTTTGGGATTTTTTGTAAGTTGGCAATAAGTCGGTAATTTTGTTGGTATGAGGAGACGGACGGTAAGGCATAACACGCGAAATAATTTTAGGATTAAGGTGGCTGCCTACTTTCGAAGGTTCGATTTGAGCACACGATGTGCGCGCGCTCAAAAACCGCTGAAAAATCTACAAGATTTTATTGAAGAACCATACTCGTTTTGAGCTTCAACAGGGCAAAACCCTCAAATTTTGCACGGGACTCTATATTGTTTGATAGCTCATTCGAAAAAACTCCTAAAAATCTGTCATATCAACATTTTAGGAAAAGTTTAAATCAGTAACGCAATAGATTTTTGTAGGGATTTTTGTTCGACTTTATGAGATTTTTTAAGAGCACTGAAACTACAAAATTTGACAAATCAATGTATCTGTTTGTCTTTTTGTCGAAAATATCCATGTATTACTTTAGAATGATTGACTAGCCTTCATTCGTGCAAT